GTTCAGTGCTTTCTCAACATCCCACACGATCGCACAGATGGTTATGGGCTTTTCAAGCTGCTGTCCGTGTCCAGGGCGTGGCAGTTCTTTCTCAAGTCCTCCAGTGTCCTTTGGAATCGAATAGCATATGGTGAAGGGAGAATGTCTGTCAATCAGATCCGCCTCTCGCTCGTCCTCTCAAAGAACGTGCCCCTCTATCTCGAAATCCTGTTGCAAGATCACTTCTCCGACTCACCACTCATAATGGCCGACTTGTTAAAAAACGATACGCATCGGATACGAGAAATCTTGATGCAGCATCACTCAAGATACGATGGGGAACCGTTAATTAGGGACCTCTTGTTCCGAGACACCTTGAGCGTGCTTCGCGGGCTCGGTACATTCTCCACTTGTGAATGTCTGACATACATTGGCTCACCAATGGATGGACTAATCCAAGTGGATGGACGGGAATTACCAGATATGCCCGCCATTCGCCACTTGATTGGGTTTAGTCTCGATTCGTCAACCCTCGACATCAATCTCAATACTGTCATGCATTTCAGTTCGGCGTCTTCTGCTTATTCACTAGAACCAATTCTCCAACGATGCACTCGGTTACAGCAGCTTGATCTTCTCGACACCCTCGAGCAAAACATCAACTTTCGCGAGCCGTCGAAACTCCCATCACTTGAGGTGCTGGTTTTCGATAGGAGCGGTGTCTCTAATATACGCCCTCTTCTAATGCTAAAGGGAGATCGACTCAAAACACTCCACCTAAAGCTTCAATGGTTCGAGCTCGCCGATATGACCTTCCTGTCCCACCTTCCCATCCTCACTCACCTTAGTATAGACTTTGTGCTACCTAAATATACTATCCGAGAACTCTCCATCAATATACCGCCCCTCCCTAAAGTCGAAGAGTTCCACTTCAACGAACGGTCGGAGGCGCCGGACCAGAAGTACGACGGTACACCACCAAGTCTCGAAAATCTTTTCACTGCACTAATCCAAAATGTTCTTCAACCTCGAACCCTCAGCTTTGACCTATTCCGGCCAGTGCCTCCTCGCCTCATGCTCCGATACCTTAGATCTCTGAAAAACCTGGAAGACCTCCAATATCACCACGAAAATCCTTACACCGAAGTCCTCAACGAACCACCAACGCGTCTGGAGTCGCTTAAGCGCCTGACGCTGACGAATGAAACCTTCCTGCAGTATCTA